ATTTTTTCATTACCTGAATTATTCATGATGTATATCCTTCCCATGTTAGCAATAGCACCAATGATAAAGACAAAGATCAGGATCTGACAAATGTTTGTTAATGTGGCAGTCATATTCTCACTGTCTGAGTAAATAGTGTCTATCACTTTACCAATACAAAATGGAATAGACATTGAAATACCACTGGATATGATCAGCAGTCCCACAGCACCTACAAATGCATATTTTAGATGACTATAAACCAACCTTTACTTATGTGTGGAAAATTTTTAAGCTTTGCAACCTTCTTTAACTTGCATATTTCTCATTAAAAACCAGTCAATCACATGAATGTATGGTTTATGCAACTATACATAGTTAATGTACATCTGTTTAAGCAGGGACCTACTGTAAACGTATTACATTTAGAGGTGTATTCTATTTAGCGATTTTGGCAGAAATTAAGCAGAATCCACTAATTCAAGTTCATCGCTAAATGTCTTGTATATTAACTTTTATAACTAGTGAATTCAGACAGTGCTAAATCAAATCTACACTAACTTGTTGGAAATTTAATTTCCGTCAAATATCGTACAAGCCAAATTTAATACATTTACAGTATATACTATATAGATCCCTGGTTTAAGTAAAAGATCATCAAATCTAAGAATAAATCATTATAAATACGTTTTTATAACACGTTTAACTATTGAAAACTAAAGGTAAAAATGTGCAACAGTGTTGGGTGCTGCACAATGTTTTACAGATTTATATACTCTTTACTTATACACAGAAACCTACCTGCTAGTTTCCATTTCTCTGATTTTGCTAATGAAAGAAGCCTATAAATTTCTTGTGAGGTTGGGACTTTCTTTTTGCTAGTTTCAGGATTTTTGGCAAGAGAACTTGACTTCCGTCGTGATACATAGCTTTTAATTTTAAATAAAAGACTTTTTCTGGTAGACTCCTTAGTTGATACATGTTGAGATCGGGGGATGCTTGGATTTGATGTTAACGAGTTACGGAACGTCCTGTTGAATGTGTTACCAAATCGCCTGGGGACGACATATGGACTAGAAATTAGACACAATCTAAAAGATTGTGAATTAAGATATGCAGTCCACTTAAAACAGATTCTATGCGACATCCTTTCTGTTTACTCTTTAATTCAAACCGGGTGTAAATCCCCGGCAAATCACCTTCACACAAAAATGCCGAAGCTTACGAAATGTTTTGCCATGGGCGCCGCCATGTTGAATTTATTGTTAAGTTGTACGTTTCTTGTTTCGCCTAGAATTTTCTTAAAAGTATTTGGTTAAGAGTGAAAATTTGATTCTGAACCTGGGATATGAGCATTTATCATAAGAAAGAAGCAAAGAATATACACATGTGGAGAAGTTGTGTTCATTCTGCTCATTCGAAGCGAGAATACATTGTTTTATTGCAGGAGAGAGCACAGAATTAGTGTCTAAAGTTATCATTTTTGGTGATGAAATGAAAGTGTTTATTGCAAGATAACAATTAAACTCAAGTTCTCCCGCAAACGAATGTCTATTTTTACAAAATACAGATGATTTAACATTTCATGAAGAGTTAACTACTTAAGCCTACGATCACCATTTAAATTTTAAAACGACAATTTCTTGCATGATCCGTGTGACTTAACATTATTTAAAAGGCAGTAGACACACGTATTGCAAAAGCCTATTAGAATCAATCTAGAGAGAAAAAAAATTTAAAAGGCGTTATAGGCGTAATAACGCGAAAAAAGGCATTATAACGCATTTTGAAAAGGCGTTATTATGCCTTTCCAAAACGCGTTATTACGCCTTTCCAAAAAGGCGTTATAACGCCTTTCCAAAAGGCGTTATTACGCCTTTTTAAAAAGGCATTATTACGCCTTTCCAAAAGGCGTTATTACGCCTTTTACTTTCAATACATAACTAAACATATTTAGCCCAACCGAGGGGGGGGGGTGCAGAAATCGTACCTTTGGGACATGAATTTCACAATTAGATATAGGACTAATTTCTCAAAAAATAATTTAAACAGATAGCAATTAGATTTCCAGGAAAAAAGATTTTTAAATGCGTCATATATTTTCAATGTTGAACCAACTAAGTCCTTCTTTCATACCAGACACACCTCTACCAAGGGTCATTGATTTCAATTGCTCATTATACCCATGCAAATGGTTGCCTGCTTTTTTCCAAGAAGAGAGAAAAATATCTTCAAATGACATAAATTTTAACACATGGCAAGCAAAGCTCCAAGATAAATCTGCCTATATTCTAGATCTTCACAAGTAGAGTGTTGCCTTCTCTTAATACGAATGCAAACAGTTGTCAGTGAGATGTGCAGGAATATAGAGAATTGCATAAATAAAGATGGTTTTAATTAAAACTTTATATATTTATTAACATAAGATAACGCCTTTTCCTTTTCATGTAGGCCAGAGAGATAAATTTGCGTTTAATATTGGGGTAAACCCCCTCCAAACATACACACTTTTGAGGAAAAGTAAAAAATTACAGTTTAAATATTATAATTAACTATTGAATGTTTCTTGGTTCATGAACATTTTGTTGCAGTACGTAAAACTGACAAATTATTGCATTTAAATAAAGTTTTGCCGAGTATTTCCCCCACGAATTTGGCCAGTGGAGAGGGTGTGTGTGTGTGGGGGGGGGGGGGGGGCAATTAAAAGCACGGCCATGTTAAATGCAAAATAATGGTTATTCAAAAAGCATAATAACTTTTTTGGAAAGTCATAATAACGCCTTTTAGAAAGGCGTAATGTTCTAGTTGTGTTAGAATTTGCGTATATAACACCTTTTATTAAAGGCGTAATGAAAACGCCTTTTGGCTTAAAAGGCGTAATAAATTCAATGTTCTATAATAATTTGGAGAGGCGTAATAACGCCTTTATTTTCATACGCCAAGGCGTTATAACGCCTAGTTTAAAAAGGCATTTAACGCCTTTTAAAGTTGTATAATTTTGAAAAGGCGTAATAACGCCTTTTTTCGCGTTATATACGGCATTTCAAAAGGCGTTATAACGCCTTTTTAATTTTTTTTTATATTTATTGAACATAAGATAAGGCTTTCATGTAGGGTAATACGAGTGCGAATGGGTTTAAATATACACAATATTTATGTACCCTATTGATACGTTTAATAACAAGTACTTTTTTCTTTTCCTGAACATTTTGTTCAATGTAAAACTGGGTACAACATTATTTATATTAAATAAACCAATTTCCCCCACGAATTTGGCCAGTGGAGTAGGGTGTGTGTGTGTAGATTAAAAGCATGCCATGTTAAATGCAAAATAATGGTTATTCAAAAAGCATAATAACTTTTTTAAGTCATAACAAGCCTTTTAGAAAGGCGAATGTAGCTCTAGAAAGGCGTAAATATATTAATACGCCTTTTGGAAAGGCGTAATAGTGCCTTCTAAAATGAAAAAACTTTATATTTATCGCGCACAAAAAGTTGCGCTTGTGTTTGGATTAATTCTTCCAAATTGCAAAAAAATTAGATTTCAAAAAAAATTCCGTACTCTTCTATTTAAGTACTTTCGTAGTTGACATCTACACTAAGCGCGTTGGGCCGAATTATCTTACAACCAAAATGGCAGTATAAACAGATGAAATTGTCGATGATCTCGATTTCAGGGCCAGGATGGCTATAAACAACAACTATAAGGTATGTTTTGTTGTGGAAACAGTGAAAGATTGTGTTTGGAATACACGGTTAGCAATATTTTGAGATTATAGTTTCAAAAACATGGAGAAATAAATTGATAAACAGCGCACTGTGCGCAATAAATATACAGTTTTTTCAATGGGTGGCACTGTAGCTCTCCGGTCTGTCAAATTATTTTTTCGGAGAGCTACAGATCTGCAGCTAACTATGACGGGGCCTAAAGAATGGAACATATGGAGATAATGAACAGTATTCAAGCTCAGAAATCCATAAAACAATACAAAATAGGAGCAGAGCAAATACGGACCTCCCAAACATCAGAGATGGGATCAGGTGCCATAGAGAAGTGGGTATGCATCCCCTGCCGATAGGTCACACCCGCCGTGTGCTCTTTGTCATGATCGGGAAATAACGCAAAAATCCGTTTACAGATAATGGACGAACAATTAGTATGAAAAACGTCAGTCAGCATTTCACTCAATGATAAACTGTATTTGCTGACAATGTTATTGTATCGACCATAGAACTTACGAAATGATGACTTTAAACGAGGCTGCAGATATTCCAGTTTCATTAACTTGTGTGTCAATAATTAACCCCGTTTTAGAAATGTTCATACTTAGAGCACATGGAACAATACCCTTGCGTGTCCAATCAACTGAGATAGATGAACTCCGTATACAGGTGATAAAAGTATATTGCTGCATAAGTAAGGGGAGTTGATGACTGAATAAAAAAAAAACTAGGCTTGCATGTAATCAAAGATTTAAAGAAATAGACTAGTTTATTTGAGTTTTTGTGGGATTTTTGTGGGACTTATGAATATAAAACATGGACCATCGTAAAACCCAGGAGGTGAGACCAAAATTGCCTGGTGACCAGTCACACTCACCCTTCACAACAGTTACACCACAGTCTTCTAATGGAGGAAACGCCAAGAAGGACGTCGGTGAGACTCCCCGGTAGAATAACTATCAATTGTTTTAGAGATCCACCGGACTAAGAGTGACAAAGATGCAATGAAAGTGTAAAGTAGGTATCTACTCATGTACTCCTCCAATGCTCCAATGCTTAAAAGGGTTACAGACTAAACATGAAAAAAGATTAAATAGAACGAAGAAAATCCAAAGTGCGTGATTCAGATGACAGATAACATATTATACAGCAATGTCCCCAGTCAGATAATACAAGAGAGCCATGCTTGTTCTGTCTGTAACAAGGCCTGTCTTCAAATACCATGATAAAAATAAATAAACTGTATCTGTGTATCATAATTTCTGTAAAAATATTAATGATAAGGATTTTATTTTTGTAAATGAAGAGCCAATTCCTCTTTTAAATAATATCTACTCTATTTAATGGTTCCTGAAAAATTTTGCATGAACAATGCACCATTCACTTATCATCATTTATATAAGTATAATACAAGAGGACTGTATTCTTTTTGTCAATTACCACCGCCATTCCTGTCTTGCCGAGTTCTGTCAGTGGAGGAGAAGATGTCCGACAAACACGTAGTCATAGTTGGCGCTGGCCCGGTGAGTATTGTGTGAAATTGTGGAATTGATTGTGGAAAATATTTTCTCTTAATTAATATCAGCAAAAAAAATTTGAAAAGGAAAACTTAAAAAGAAAAAAAAATGTTTTCTTGGCTGTAAAAACTAGAACAAGAATCTTGTCGGTTCCATTCAGGTCACCTCCGTTACACTATTTTTCTTGACTGAATGATATGAGTATGGTCAGTCACAGTGGACGACCACTCAGGAAAACAACAAGACAAAAAAGCAACAAAAATATATTCAGATTTATTCAAATTTAACCCAGATGATGCTTGTCTAACCATTATTTCCTTCTACCTACGGCCCGGTTTGCTGGAGTACGCAGCACTACAACATCACTGGTTTATATATATACTTCTATCAAATCAAAGTACTGAGGGATCATATGAGATGACTTAGGTCACGTGATGCCATCAACCAATCTATACATTAGGGGCACTAGGTGTCCGCTACGGAAGCGTATTAGTGCCACTTGGACACTTCACTTTTTTTTAATTTCTACACTTTAAAGTGTAAATTTTACACTTTAAAATGTAAATTTTACCCATTAATCTGTAAAATTTACACTTTAATCTGTAAATTTTACACTTCAATCTGTAAATTTTACACTTTAATCTGTAAATTTTACACTTTAGTCTGTAAAATTTACACTTTAATCTGTAAAATTTACACTTTAATCTGTAAATTTTACACTTTAATCTTTAAATTTTACACATTAATCTGTAAATTTTACACATTAATCTGTAAGAATTACACTTAAATTTGTAAATTTTACACTTTAAAGTGTAAATTTTACACTTTAAAGTGTAAATTTTACACATTAATCTGTAAATTTTACACTTTAATCTGTAAATTTTACATATTAATCTGTAAATTTTACACTTTAATCTGTAAAATTTACACTTAAATTTGTAAATTTTCACTTCAAAGTGTAAATTTTACACATTAATCTGTAAATTTTACACTTTAATCTGTAAATTTTACATATTAATCTGTAAAATTTACACTTTAATCTGTAAAATTTACACTTTAAAGTGTAAATTTTACACATTAATCTGTAAAATTTACACTTTAATCTGTAAATTTTACACTTTAAAGTGTAAATTTTACACTTTAAAGTGTAAATTTTACACATTAATCTGTATAATTTACACTTTAATCTGTAAAATTTACACTTTAATCTGTAAAATTTACACTTTATTTGTTTATTCACACAGTCAATTTAGCATCTTCACACATCCTCAGTAACACATTTTTAAACCAACAGACCATGTTTCGTGTATGATAAAATTTAATCCTGATGTTTTATATTAAAGTAAAACTCTTCTTTGAATATAAAGTGAAGAGCATATCAAACATACATGCACATATTCCCGATCACAGGTGCTTAAGGACCCCCCCCCCCAATATAGATTCCAGGGCCTGTTAGACTTTTTTCACATGAATAATATATTGATGACACAATTGTGATATAATCTATAAATCCTTCAGAAAATTTGCTTAAACTAACATTTTATTGGCTTACAAATGTGTTACTGAGGATGTGTGAAGATGCTAAATGTGAATAAACAAATAAAGTGTAAATTTTACAGATTAAAGTGTAAAATTTACAGATCAAATTGTATAATTTACAAATTAAAGTGTAAAATTTACAGATGAAAGTGTATAATTTACAGATTAAAGTGTAAATTTTATAGATAAATGTGTAAAATTTACACTTTAAAATGTAAATTTTACAGATTAAAGTGTAAAATTTACAGATTAAAGTGTAAATTTTACAGATTAAAGTGTAAAATTTACACTTTAAAGTGTAAAATTTACAGATTAATGTGTAAAATTTACAGATTAATGTGTAAAATTTACAGATTAAAGTGTAAAATTTACAGATTAAAGTGTAAAATTTACACATTAAAGAGTAAATTTTACAGATTAATGTGTAAAATTTACAGATTAAAGTGTAAAATTTACACTTTAAAGTGTAAAATTTACAGATTAAAGTATAAATTTTACAGATTAAAGTGTAAAATTTACACTTTAAAGTGTAAAATTTACAGATTAATGTGTAAAATTTACAGATTAATGTGTAAAATTTACAGATTAAAGTGTAAAATTTACACTTTAAAGTGTAAAATTTACAGATAAAAGTGTCGAAATAAAAAAAAAGTAAAGTGTGCAAGTGGCACTAATACGCTTCCGTAGTCCGCTCATTCCACGGAGTTATTCATGCTGATTTTAATCATTATTACGTTTGACAGAATATACCAGTAATATTACATAATGAAGTCTACTTTTTTTTCAGGTTGGCGTGTTCAATGCCATTTTATTAGCAAAACGAAATTTTAAAGTGAGTGTATACGAGAAAAGACAAGGTGAGAGAAACAGACATTAAAAATTTTATTTCATTGAAAATCTGTGCACCCTAAGCAAAAATTAAATGAACACTTATTTATTTTTTCAGATCAATCACTGTTTGTTTGCTTATCCCATTAGATAAAAAAGAAGCTACTCGTGAGTCGTGATATAATATTAGATGTTAACAGTGTATTGATATTGTTACCATTATATCCTCCCCATTTTGATCACTTCCTCTCTGAGGATGTATAGATTAAAAAATCGGCCTGTCTCTGAATATCACTATTGTGTTTGGATATTTTTTTTTAGAAAAATGATATATTATAAAATTATTATTTGTTAAACAATATGAATTGTCCTTAAAATACACAAAATTTCCTTGCTTTCACCATACAAGGCCCATGAAGCTCCATCTTTGTTGCTTGCACTGTTATATCAAACAACATGGGCAGCTTGCATACAGTATATAATCTATGTCGTGCCGATTGGTAACTTCGATAAAAGTGTTTGTATGTCTTTTTTTAATAAATGATATATCAATATTCATCCACCCAATCTTAAATCAAAACTTCTTTCTTGTTGGATATTAAGGTTTGAAATAATTAAACTTTTACGAAACAAATCCATGTGAGAAATACATTATATCAATCTTTTTATACAATCAGGTTGATCTCAAGTCGGTATCTCATATTTTCCATAGTCATTAAGCATTGAAGGATTTAATTTTAATCAAAGAGTTGTCAGAAATGTCATGAAAAAGACAAGTTGACAAAATAAAATTTTATTTTGATAAAAATCAAGTGTTTAAGTCAGTGTTTAAGTGTTTAAGTTCAAAATTCCATTCAAATAAAACAATTCAGAGCAAAACAAACAAGACTTCTAAAGAATCAGAAGTGAGATCAGATTCCATGGAGGAGAAATCATCCCCTGTCTACCGCTCACACCAGCCATGTGCTCCTTGTAAAAAACGGGGGGGGGACGGAAAATACATCGTGGACTATTCAGTGTATAAATAATGGATTTGACCAACAACTAGAAGTACGAAAACCTCAGTTGGATTTGACTCACTGTCTTGTTGTATTAGCTGACAAGGATATTGTATCGACCAAAAGAAATTGCAAATTGATGACTACGTATGGGACTCTTAGAAGCACTCCCCATTTTTTTTTTTATTTTTCACACGTAGAGTTTGCTCTTGTATATTAAATCAATTGAAAAAAATATTTATACGCATGATGAAGGTATATTGCTACATAAAAACGGGAAGTTGACCATTGGAAAAATTGAGTCATCATGTTTATCATAAAGCTAGATTATGTCTTAATTGACGTCTTTTCCCTGTTAAACATCCAAATATGAAACATAACGACGAAAAATTAGATTGAGAATGATAATATGTAAACAAGATCATTTAAGAATATAGACAATAATTTAAAAAAAATCAAGTTATGAAGGATTCTGTAGACTAAAATTAGTTTTCACACTGTCTTGAAACAGACATAAGAAGGGTACCACCAATCAAGGACCGGAGAACAGTAAATTTGGCCCTGTCATGTCGAGGAATGGATGCACTCCGCCATGTCGGGTTAGAGAGGGAGATAACCCCTTACCAGGTACCCATGTTTTCCAGGATGGTTCACAAAGTAGATGGAACACTGCACCCCCTCAATTACGGCAGGAAGGAACAGGTCAGTTAACAAAGAAAGAACTCAAGTAGAGCACTGTGATCAGCATTTGAAATATGTGTCATTCTTACTGACCGAAGTATTTTTTATTGTTTCAGTCTATTCTGTCGACACAAAGAAATAAGCTGAACGAGATTCTCCTAGATGGTATGGGAATAAGAGTTTAGTTTACTGTAATAAATACGATTATATTTGAACTTTTATACATAAGCACAAGAAATGATTAAAATAATGATGAACAGTTTTGAATTTAAAAAAATGATTGAATCTTACGAAAAAGGAAATTCTTTTTGTTAATGATTGATACAGCTGCAGAGAAGTTCCCAAATGTCACGTGCTATTTTGAACACATCCTGACAGGTTGCAATTTACAGCAAGGAGATTTGGAATTTCTACAGTAGGTTTGATTTACCATGTTTAACGGAAGGTCAGTACAATTTAAATATTTGAAAATCAATTATAAAGATAAACTTTCTTTTAGCAATGAAAAGAAGATACATGTACATGCAGACTTGATTTTGGGAAATGACGGGGCACATTCAACAATACGAAGGCATATGATGGAGTCGACATTGATGGATATTCACCAATATTATGTACCTTACGGATATATTGAATTAGAGGTGGCCAGAACTAAAGACAACAATGTGAGTAAATGTTTGTTTCATCATGTTGAAGAGGTATAATCATAATTATTATAAAAATTATAATAAATGTGTCCTAACTTTTATAACTCACAACAATATTTCTATGTTAATATAATGACAAAATTTAATTGAGTTTCTAAAAAAAATTGATTCTTGTAAATTTACTCCTCTGATTTGCTTTGGATACACAAATTATTTTTTTAAGTTTGCTATGGACTCTAACTACCTCCATTTATGGCCTCGGGACGAGTTTCTGATGTTGTGCACAGCAAACTGGGACAGAACATTTAACATCGTGTTATTTATGACATTCAATACTTTTGCAAACCTTAAGACAGAAATAGACGTCGTCCAGTTCTTCAAGCAGCACTTTCCCGATGCCCTTCCTCTTGTTGGGGAGTAAGTACAGTTTACAACAGTTTAAGAAATTGCCTAAAGGCTTTAAAATCAAAGTACACTCTGTAATTAAACGTTTTCAACAAAACTTTAAATGTTATACTATTGTTTTTATCTATTTTGATTTTCGTATAAAAATTCATTAACATACATGCAACACTTAAAAAAAATATTACGAAGGCTTGTGGGTGAACAAATTAACCATCAGATATAACTTCATTTTTAGATATTATATCTTAAGCTGTCAGCTATCATTTGGCAAAGAAAAATTTCATACACTATAATTTTAAAATCTGAGCAATTTTGTATATCTTTACATGGAGCTCTTCTTCTAAAGAAGATCAAAATATATGTATTCTGAAAATGGCAACAACCACCCAACCCTCTTAAGACAATTATACATCCTTGGATTTCGTCTTTTTTTAATAAGTATTTTATATAATTGAATACAAGTTCTAATCAGAAGTCAGTTAAAATAGAGGAAATTTTATGTGTAACATGAAATTTTTAAAGATTTTTATATCAGTTTGTAACATTACGTTTGGACCCTTGTTAAAAAAGCCTTAGTTAATTATTACTGTAAATATTTACGGTGTATTATATGGTTTTGTGGTTTGATATAAATTACATTATATTATAAATTCCCTTTCCATCTAATTGATTAGCATCAAATTGCTGAAGAGATACTGTACACTTCAAAAATTCTGGAGATAGAATAATAAATAATGTCAGAAATGGAATAAATAATTGTCGGAAACGAAATTTAAAAAAAAAATGTCGAGAATGTTTTGCAAAATTCCTGAAATGAAATGCTGCCAAAAATTGAAATGTCAATATGCACATTAAACCCTGTTAATGCATTTTAATTTCTTCATTCATTTCAGACAAAATCTGAGGAAATCTTTTTCTTCCTGGAGACCTTGTCCGATGATTACAATTAAGGTGTGTACTAAATATCATATACACTGTATTATAAACTTATCTCATAGCATTCAAAACAAAATGTCGGAACAAACATCAGAATTTTTAATAAATCAATTAAAAGTTGGTTCATAATCAATTCAAAATTTATTATAATCAATTTAAAATATTCATAATATCATGAATCACTCTACTATAAATTTGATTAATTTTTGTTTGTTTATTTGCTAATCGATAACTTTTCCAGTGTTTACCCTATCATGTAGGGGACAAAGCCTTAATAATGGGAGATGCTGCACACGCTATGCTTCCTTTTCTTGCTCAGGGAGTGAACTCAGTAAGTCTAAACTTAAACTCAAATACCTTTCCTTCTAAAAGAAAATTGCACGATATTGAGTATGATTCAACTATTCATTGATGTTCAGAAAAGAAAGCTGGTATAATGCAAACAGAAATTCTAACCTCATTTGTTTAAAATATGTAGATTCACCTTTTACCTTTGCTATTCTAGACTATTAAATAAAAACCAATAGTTGGACTTGCACTCAACAAGAGCCTCAATGGGTCACAACGCTAACTTGAGTCACAATGATCCTTCTTTTGTTTAGAAGATTCTCCAAAGTTTTCATTGTCTATATTCCTGAAATTGCTTGCACTTTCGTATCAATCATCATGGCCGTTACACTATTTGACAATGACTGGTATATCATCACGATCAGTAATCACAAACAAATTGTAGTTGTAAAGAATGCTTAATACTGTTTCCTTTCATATTTCACTGTAAAACTTAGAGTCTCCTATAATGACTCCTGTACTTTTCACTGGGACCGAGTTGAAGCTACACTATGTCAGGATGCTTATATATCAGTTTTATGTTTTTTGACACTGAGAAGAGGATTTTCAAATATGCCACGAAAGATCAATAATCTACCCAACAAACGATGACTTGGCTAGCGCTCTTCTTTTGAACAAGCTTGGCTCGCCTTTACATGATAGACGGACGGACACTCTTCGGTCAGAAGTGCTCATTGGAACGTTAGTTCTGCTAACCTAATCAAATATTTTTGTTGCAGGGTTTTGAGGACTGTATGATTCTCAACGACATTTTAGATCAACACAAAGATAACTTCGGTAATTGAATTAATATAACTTTCTTTTACTAGTGTCTTAAGGTAAAAAGATGTAAAACCCTCTTTAAAGTATTGCTCAGAAGATCTTTTTGGTTGGTAACTTCCTTTATCTTTTGGTATATTTACTTTTACTGTTCTAACATTGTTGTGCTAGTTATTATAGTGTTCAGTCTTCCCTAAGTCTTCAGTAAATATTTTATGTCCTTCTGTTCGGGAATGGACAACTGTGGTTCGTACTTTGTGTTATTTAGTTAAAGGTATGGAGTGTAAAAACCGAGTGAAAGGTCTTTGTGTTATTTAGTCTTATTTTAAAGGTTACATTTACAGTGTAGTTTTGGTTAACACAATTCCAATATCGTCCTCATTTCCTGATCTGGTATATTAAACAGCCACTGCTCTACCAGAGTATACCAAACGAAGATATAAAGACGCCCACGCTGTGTGTGACCTGACTATTTATAACTTCCTGGAGGTCAGATTAAAGGTTTTTAATTGAATTTTAAAAGAATTTTTCAGAATAAGATAATATATTATAAAAGTGCCATTGTTTTCTATATATCAATTTGAGGAAAATTATGATTACTTCTACTCGTATATATATATTTTTCAAATCATCAATCATGTCGTTGATTAAATAAGTACCCTCTGCAGAAGCCAGCCTACGCCCGTTTTGTTCCTCCTTTATGTTTCATATTTCAGATGAGGAGTCTGGTAAACAAAAGAAGTTTCCGTATAAGGAAAAAGCTTGACAATGTCATGCATACTATTTTGCCGAATACATGGATTCCATTATATTCAATGGTTCGTATGACTTTTGGATTTGTGTACGTATTTACGAGGGCTGTCCAGTAAAATCGTGGACAAAGCGTTTTTCTCGAAAAATATTGGGCGTACTAAGCTGAAGTTTTTAGTAAATGTTTATTTATCATATTTAAGTGCATCATAATTTATTTGATAAAATATAGACAAAAATAAAGACTTTATTATGCTTGAATGTGTACAGGGTACTGTCCTACGGCGCACGGTTAAAAAACAAAGGTTTTATTAGAGAATGCAAGAGTATTGATTCGAAATATAAGATTCAAATAGATAAGGTTGAGTTAAAAATCACCCTTATTCGATTTCACAATTAATTTTGTCGTCTTTTAAAAAAATTTCAAGGCATCTGGTTAATTTTTGTCAGTTTCCTGAGCATTCGGAATGGGAAAGTCGTAAACACAACACACAAAAAATGGCGACGTTTCATGACATTACGGCGCACCGGAGAGCAGTTCAATTTGATTTAGATGGTGTAATAACACCTTAAGAGACTTAACATTAATGCAGAAGATTTTTTTATTATAAATCAACAGATCTTTGGTATAGAATTGAAATGGGAGTTTTCTTAGTGAAGTCGTTCTTGATCGAGTCCCCAGCTGGTACAAAACATACGGACAAACAGCTATAGTTGAAATAGCAAAAGACGCTGTCACTGTTATTCGTCAATATGAAATTTTCTATTAGTTGCATGATGGTGGGGATATTGTCCGTAACTTACTAATAAATCATCAGAAGATTGCACGTTTGTGCCAGATTGGTTCCTCAACTGTTTATGGAGACTAAATTATGTGCATCAATGAAATTCCTAAATTTAAGTGGGACTTATCCAACTTTATTTTATCGCAATCGTGAAACGTAACGCTGTTTTAGACACTTTGACGTTATCATCCGTGCGCCGTAAGGCGATACAATACATAATATAAAATCTCATAATTTGTTAATTTATGCATATATCTATTTGAAATTTGCTATGTTTATTCAAAAAATATGTAGTAAAGAGTAGTGAAAAATTCAGAACGCAGTGATGATCATTTTTCACGCAAGGCAACTTGTCCACGATTTTACTGGACAACCCTCATATTTATGTTTTAAGAAAATTATTAATATTTATTCTCCAGCCGAAACTGAGTCTTTACAAGGGTTATTTTTATTCGTATTTGGTGAGGCAGACATAGAAAACGATGTGAAATATTAACTTCCACGTGTTTTTAAAATCAAGCCCCAAGTGGGAAATTTCAAAAATACACTGTACAGGGTATGTAATAAGACATCAGTCATTGAAAAAAAAATCATTTAAGGTCAATTAAAGTTATTTTATTGCAGGTTGCTTTCACAAATACCGGATACCACTTATGTAAGGAAAGAAGAAAACAACAAGATTGGGTATTGTTTCCAATTTGAGCAACACTTAAACATTTACTTACATATTGTTATATAATGATCTCCCCTGTTACATGTCAAAATAATGTACGAAATAACAGAACAAATTGTAAAACATAGAGTATAGATCTAATGAATAAAATGATGAACAATTCTTGTAAGTATGGTACTAGTATACACCCTTTTCTTTGTACGTTCCCTTAGTAGTAAGTTAATCGTTAAAACATTGATGGTGGTTGACAATGTTCATTTTCATTGTCGTTTAAACTCATATATGCTAATAATATAGATAGTTGATTTGATGCTTTATATATTAGCTTATTTGTACAATCTGTATTAAAATATAACTTTTCTTTTATTTCAGATTCTAAATTGCATATTGTTTTTCTCCATGGTACTAATTATTGGACTTTTTCTTTTGATGGCATACCATTTGTTCGACAGTCAACACTTGGCATATTAGCTGTGGAAATTGATTTGCGGAGTTGCAGACATATTTGTTTCAAAAAGTGGAGAGTTATAAAGAACAGTCAAAGGACTCATTCTTTCTTCTTCTTTTTTTCGTTTTAACATCATCAATTCTTATTATCATATCTATATTGGATTCCAAAACAGTCATAAAAAAAAGTCTTACAAATATACATAGCAGGTTATAGTAAATGTTCTACTAAGCTTTTTTCTTTACTTTTCACTAAAATATTAACAGTAGTATATAAAATAAATAAATTAAATTAAAATTAAAATAAATTAAACTTTAGACTTCTTCATATCATTGACAGCTGCTTTTTCAATAAAAATGGAAAACTACTTACATTGTCATTGGTCATTTGCAAAATTATTTTGTTAAAAACATTCTGATTGTACACACAAATACTCTGAAGTTGATATAAAAACGATATCAATATGGTTTTTGGAGACCTGGTCTTCCAACAGTCTATTGGAATACCCAGTAACAATTGCGCCTTGTTAGCAGACATATTTTTTTTATTCATATGAAGCAGAATTTGTCCAAAATCTTATGCGTGAAAAGAAGAAACACTTTCTGTGGTCTTCAACTTGACATTTAGATATATCGACGACGTGTTGTCAGTTAACAATGGTTATTCCCATTCTTGTCGATGCGATATATCCCAGTGAACTTGAGATAAAAGATACCACAGAGTCTGATACATGTTTTATATATAGATGTTTTACTTGAAAAAGAAATAAATGGTAATCTAACAATCAAGCTCTGTGATAAACGTGATGACTTGAACTTTTCAATCGTCATCTATGCAGCAACTATACCTTCATCACCTGCACACTGGGTTTACATAGTTCACTCAGTTGATTTGTTATGCAAGAGCATGCTCTACGTAATATGAACAATTTCTAAAACGAGATAAATTATTGACAAACAAGTTTATGAAGCAAGAATATCAGCAGTCTCGTTTTAAAGTAGCGTTTCACTTGAATATTTAATTTACTTATACATATCTATTAATACAAAAACTTCTTTTAAAGTATAAAATTCGTTTTGAATTAATGAAAAATATTAAAACTTTAATCAATCAAGGAAATTCAGTGTAAAATGCAGAGTTTAACAAAAGTTCTTGCCCTGTGAAATATTTACGTTTGGCCGGATGTGTTGAATATGTTTCACTGAGCACTGCAATACTGGTGAGTGGATTTTGCTTTAAATAAATTCTCACCATTATATTTTCGTTTGTAATGTTATAACAACATATAACTCATGATATAATATTGAAACATGATTAAAATTTACTTTAAATTTGTGTCTCAGCCCCTTTAGCAAGTGTGAAACAGGCTTTGACGGATTAAAATTGTAAGAGCTCTGTTCAATCTTTTTCTAATAAATATTTGCATATATATATTTTTTAAAACCTTGATAAAAAATGTGAGTTCTATTTTTTGATGCTATATTTTTACAGGTATGAAAAGTACAAGTCGATTATACTCTGCTCAGTGAAAACGTACGTGTTCTTGTAGTTTTAAAATAACGTTGCAGAAAAAAAAATTACCCAACCCCCTTTAATATATACGCAGGTTATGTATTTTTACTGCAATAGCTGCGACATTTCCGTACTAACAACCAAAGAAAGACATTTTATTGTTTATTTTTGTGTATGAATATTAAAAGATATATATATCATTTTAAAAGGGATTAAAAAGATCAATTATTGTATTACTAATATGTACATTATAGTATACATTTCATTGAAACAACCACTGGTCAAGAAATCTGTCAGTACATGAGAACTGATAAACGGCAATGGATTTCTTAAGAAATAAAGGAAATAATATTCAGTGGATTTAAATATATGCTTGTAAATTTAAAAAAAAATATAGTTTAAACTAAAGTGGTATTTCTTGTCTGAAAGGGTTGAATCTATGGAACGCCAAATTAACATATATTCAAATATTTTCCTTTATCTTCAAATAATTGCGGACCTATTTCAAATAATTGTACCTATCTTCAAATGAATTGAAGATAGGTACAATTGAATTAAATATATGATAAAAGGTACACCATTGAATTTAAGATAGTGTGTATCAAATAATTATACCATTTAAATATATTTCTAGCAAAATAATTATACCTAGTTGATTACAAATGAAATATTTATATATCTTTGGAATTGAATTACACCTTTATAGTTTTCAATTCAATTAAAAGATAATGTTTCTGTATGGAACGCCAAATTATACCATATTTCTAATTCATTTGAAGATAGGTATAATTGATTTAATTGAAGATAGGTATTCTTCAATTGATTTGAAGATAGGTTCAATTAAGACATATCCACAAAGGATTTGTACTATCTGATAGGTACAATTCAATTATACCTATTTTTAATTTGTTAGTTGGTTTAATAATGAACGCTCTCTTGTTTTGGAGACAATATTCACAGTATGGAGGGAAACGCACAGAACCTACAGAGCTGACGACAACAAGGATGAATATGGAGTGTAAAGGTTAATTCAAATTGTGCAAAAGCATCATATACTTGTAAAAATACACATGTATATCATGTAGGTATTATCTTGTATTGCAGCCAGATGAAGATTCCGATAAACTTTCGCGCCAGCTGTGACGTATCGGAAATGATTTATGATAAAGGGAGTTCAGTTGTTATTGCCAATATGAACCTAGTATAATTAAAGATAGGTTCAAATTCAATTGTACCTATCTTTAAATCAATTATACCTATCTTCAAGAGATCAGGCATATTGTACCTATCTTCAAATAAATGAAATTGGAGAGACATTCCATAAAAAAGATTTAGGTATAATATAAGTTGTACCTTCAAATGAATTAAAGATAGGTATAATTGAATTGTACCTATCTTTAATTCATTTGTAGATAGGTATAATTGATTTAAAGATAGGTACAATCCATTTGAAGATAGGTACAATTCAATTGAAGATAGGTACAATTATTTGAAGATAGGTACAAATATTTGAATATATGTTAATTTGGCGTTCCATATGAATCTTCATTGAAAGTATTCTTCTTTTTTTATTTTGGAATATTTCTAGTGCTCACTTGGCGCATTAAGAAGGGGCTTGACGTTTCGATAGATCGCAGTGATATGTTGGTGTTATGTGTACATGTATACAAATGATAAATACACCACTTTTGTCCTGTATATATTTTTAAATGCCTCGCCCTTTAATCTTGAACAACCACCTGATCCCGTTCAAAATTTAGGATGTTTACAGGTAAAGCAGCACTAATTACAGGCGCAGCTCAGGGTCTCGGGAAATCTTTTGCTTCAGCGCTGTTGAAGAAGGAGTGCAAAGTAAGATGGTTTTCTAGTGAATAACAATGTTTACTTTATAATTGACATTTCTTTCAGTGCGTTTTGTTCAACAGTATGAGTCACAGTTCTTGAGCAAAGTTCACCAATCTCGATTTGGGTCGGGCTAAAAAGGCAAATGGACAATGAGCTGTTACATATAGAGAAAGTACTAGTATATGTTTCTCTACTTCCAGACTTTTGATGTGTGTATTTTTAACCATTAGATTAATATACAACTACAGACTTTGTGCTTGCCAAAGTATTAAAAGATTTGTTTACATTTTACGAGACAAAGGTGAAAAGAGAAACAGTCGAAATAAGAGTGTGTTCAGATTGCAAATAATTTGTGGGATTCGAACACAAGCAATAAAAATCCGAAGTATCATAATGCTTTGAGACTAATCCGCTAACCATTACGCTACATGCCTCATGATGAAATGGGTGAATGAAGGCGTATGAAAATATCTTTTTTCTGCTTGTCAAAATTATTATAAAACAATAAAATGAATTCATTTATTTATATATAATCAAAGACAAAAAAAATTTGAAATGTAAGTTAACTTTATTGTAAGGGACGAAAGTTTTAAAATTTATATCGAATAAATATGATTTTCCAAGCAAACTACAATAATGTTAGCTTTTAAAAGCTTCCAGTCTAATTAAAAATTTGTTTTTTTTTCTCTTAGTAAACGATCAAAACATTAATCGAAGCTACATTATTTATTTATATGTCAATATGGTAATATCACCTTATAGACCCTATATAGTGGTATCTTTTTAAGCAAAAAGAAAAACATTTTAATCTTTTAAAATAGAAGTAGGCATCGCATGATTGGCAGCAGTAATTTTTTTCTTAATGCTCAGGGAAAAGGTAATGATCTTGACTTGACCTTTCCTCTAGTATAAAACCGTCAAATTTTATCTAACTAATACCATCATTTAGTGATATCTTCTTCTTGAGTCTGTAAAAATTTCATTTTATTTTTATTTAAAAGAAATATGAAAAGAATTCCACGATAAGGATGCAGCTTTTTTAAAACAGGTTTGTGCTGCTGATAACAATGAAGAAAAATTGCAAGCGACTGTCAGAGAATTCCAGGATATTTATGGAGAAAATAACGTAATGTATGCCAAATGTGACGTCACAAAGGAACACGATTTAGAGGGTAAATATTACTTTATATAAATATTACAAATAATTCTTAAATGAATAAATATTTAATTAATATCTGTACCAATTCAATAGAGATGCAAACATTTTATTTTAGATTCTTTTATTTTTATTTTAATTGTCTTTTAGAGACTTTTAAGCGGGCGAAATCTGCCTTTAATCGGATAGACATTGTGGTGAACAATGCCGGAGTGGTTGATGAGCGGAACTGGGAGAGATGCTTAGATATCAACCTGGTAAAAAAAACTATAAATACCAGTATAGGTTAATGTCAGAGCACACCTCTCTACCTTAAATGTACTGGCCCTTCTTCAAGCAAATATATATATAAATGTTCTAAGCAATAATTTTGTGTAGTTTTAATACCAATTTTGAGTTTTAGTAAAGTACAAATATAGTATAGATGTTATAAATTTGTGCATTTGGATAAAATTCTTCAATTTGTTCACGTGTTTAGACTGGGGTCATCAGAGGAACTCTTCTGGGTCTTAAATATTTGAGGAAAGATCTCGGTGGTGCTGGAGGTACAATTGTCAATGTCTCGTCAATGGCAGGTAAAATAATACTTACTCTGTAGTTTTATATTAACTGAAGAAAAGTAATGGTTATTTTATAGCATGTATAAATTCAGATTATTCTTATCATTAGAATTACGATTGGTGTAAAGGATTTAACGGAAGTGACGTTGTCCTGTACGTATTGTAGGTATTTTCCCAGTCGAGTACTCCCCTGCCTATTGTGCTAGTAAACATGGTGTGGTCGGTTATACGAGAAGTTGGGCGGTATAAGACCTTCTCTGTTCATGACCTTCTAAAATTACTTGATCTTGACCAAATGAGATTAATTTACATGATTATTTTAAAAATACTATTTTAGATGTTAATTATTTTTGTAGAAAATTCAATAATTACAAAAATGAAGGAAAAAAGGTCTTTTCTCTTATTTTTGGTTTACAGAATCATTGTGATGCAAACAAGTTTTATAAAACAATAAAATTGATTATGAACACAATACTCCTTCTTTTTAAATAAGTTTCATCCAGAAGTTGTAAAAAATGGTGTTCGCCTTCTTTGCCTTTGTCCAGCGTATGCTAAAACGGACATACTGAATTTCCAGCCCGAATCTCCCGAAGATCTCGCACAGGCTCAGAAGTCGATGGAAGCTCTTGGTATCATGAGGTTAGATTACAGACAGTTAGCATGCGCGAACATCAGCTCACTTATGATTGATTTACAAGAAATTTAAAGCATTAAAATGATGATCTTTTTAATTTAAGGGTGGAAGAAGTATCGGATGCTTTCATAAAACTTTTAGAAGATTCGGACAATAACGGAAGTGTCATGTCGGTAACAAAACAGAACACGATATATTGGAAAATGCCAGTTCCGAAATTTTAACTTTACAAAACATATATGCTGTATTGAGCTATTGCATTTCGAACCCAATGTACTTTCGATGTCCATCAAAGGATTACTTATTTTAGCAGTGTATAATCAAACTTGAAAAAAGATTATTTCTTTTGTGAACTGCATGGTATATATGCGTATATATAATCTATACATATAGAGAATAGTATACATTAAAGAGTGGTCAAAACGTGTATATTTGCGTTATGAATTTGTATAGTATTAATTAATATGCAAAAGGCATGTTTAAACACATAACGATAAAAGATAATATGAACTATTTGTTAACTCCGTAAAATATCAATCTTTCATTAACAACTAAGATTTCAACAGATTGAAAATGATATTTTATCGATTGGTTATACCTTATAATTAGAGTTGCACTCTGCATGTCATTTTCTTAAAATACAAATAAATATAAAATATTTTCAATGCATGTACAAAAATATTAATCTAAATATCTGTCTACATGTATTAATAAAATACTTATTTACTCATTGTTTCTTTGTTTTATCGACAATAACAAGGGAATATCAATATTGTTCTTACATTAAAAATATTCAAATAATTGCCCTACTTTGCATCAAAGCAAATACATGATTTGGGGAGTAAACAAATGTAGATATTTATATATTTAATAAGCTTATCTTCACAGTGCTGAATGCTGTGTCATAAAATACATCCAAATCGACACATCTTTACCGGGGGCACGCCGCTGTGTTAGTCAGGTAGATTTTGGCCCCAGGGCTCCGGATTAAGACGACCAGGAAGTAAAGATGGAGCCGAAAAACACTTCCCTAGATCTAGATTTCATAATAACCAAACCAGCTATGGGCTGTGTATCGAGGAGGAATGTCATTTGGACGGCACTGTTCATTACAGTTTGTAAAGTGGTTCTGTTGTATAAAGCTTTGGTTTATTTGGAGAACTCGGCATATAACGGTGATGAGGTTTCTGTGCAATCATCAGCTGATTCCATCGGATTCGGGGAATTCCGGAATGGTAAATTTATCATAACAGAGATAAATTCGGCCGCATCATTGGATCACGTTGAAAAAAGCAGGAAAATTGTCACAGATTACATGATTGATTTCGGAAATGAAATACACGCCAACAGAAATTTTACCAGGGAAAAACGAATGTTACGAATGAGTACTTTGAATTTTTCACCTAAAATTATTAAAACATCTACAATCGAAAAACTTTTACCAAATATTGAGGATCCGGTCAATGATAGGGTATTTGAGTCGGTCCTACTAAACAGAGAACCCTAGAGAACCCTAGAGAACTCTAGAGAACCCTAGCTATATTTAATTATTTATTGCACACAAATAACATATGGGTATACAAGTATATAAAATATATAAAATATATCATATAAAATCAAAATCAATCATAAAAATTTGATTAACATTTGTTTTTTTCTTTATTTTTGCCGAAATATAGATTCGAATAATTTCCTGATCTCGATCCCGATCCTAAATGAACACGAATATTATTTTTCGGCTGATTTATTAATTTTTTTATTTCAAATATCGCAAGATACAAAAGTATCTGCATTATTTTTTGTTGACAAATATATATATATATACTGAAAGGAAAAAGAAACGCAGGATAGCATAATTTTGACCATATGACCGAAAATAACGAAAATTGGTCAGAAGAGAAATTAAGTTACTGTGCACCAAAATCAGTATTCAGAATTACTCAACCCTAAAATTTATGACGTCACGTAGGGAAAACGCTGAAAGGCCCAATACACGTGCAATTTGATAAGGACGAGTTTGTCTACAAATCTTGTTACATTATTTGATGCATATGAGGTATGCACATCGTTTTTCAATATTAAGAGACATTATGAATTTCTTGCAATCTTGGCACAGTTGATGGAAGTTCAATGGGGTCTTGTTTTCGAATTGCCTAATTAATGAAAAAGGCAACAACGGTTTACTAAGCAGTTTCTTGTAAATTTTCCCCCATAAAACTTGTTACCCGTTGTCAGAGAGGGTCCTGGAATGGTTTTCAATCAACCGTGACGATGACGTTAACGCGAAACAGAGCCATGTTACGAGCGGGTTATTCGTCCTGCCATCTCTTAAATCGCCATCTTACTACCACAAAAACAGCCATTTATACAGTAGACGAGTATAATCATTACATTCATACGAAATTTGAAAGAAAACAATTCCGCAATTTGGTTTTTTGAGCCAGTCAACTTACTGTTGTATTCCTCTCACTGGCGCATGCGCACGCCGTGCGACTTATTTTTTTGCGTGGTTACCCATGCCAAATATAGCCAGGGTTTGAAAGATAAACACTCTGATGAAATTCCATGCGAAGGAGTAATAAGGCTCTGACAAATGCACGGGAGAGACAGTGAAGATATTGAGAGTTTTCCATTTTCACTTTTGGGGGGTATCGTCATTTGAGGCTCAAT